AGAAGTTTTCATGCAGGCCCCCACATTTGTACCCTAAAGTTCAAAGTGGGGAAGCAGCCTTGACACCCATACTCACTGATCTATTCCGGGGTGTGTGCATTTACACAGGGGGGGTCAGAACAGGTTTCCCGAGGGTGGAAGGGAGTTACCGCACTGTGCTCCAGTGTGCGCCTGTTCTTGGCCAGAGCCACTTTGCAGAGCAGACTCCATTTTGGCCATGAGGGCTCTATAGTTACATATTAATTCCCACAAAGGCCTTCCCAGTGCAGAATTACAGTTTCCCAGCAGGGCCTTGTGCCTTTCCAAATGCAGAGAGCAGCTAAACTTACATTCCTGAAACCCAAGAGATAGAAAGTAACGGCACACAGCGCCCCAGCCCTGCAATCTTAACTGGGACTGGCAATAGGCGCGGGGAGCGGTTCAGTGAGGGTGGTGCCATAATAAACAGGCATGAGGAAGGTGCCATTGCTGGTGTTGTGTTTCTCGGATTCCAGCATCTATCTGCCTGCACTCCCACTGCCTTCCCCGTGTTCAGAGTCGCTGTAGTGACTGGGAGAGGGGTTAGTTAGAGCAGGCTGGCAAAGTTGTCACTCAGGTCACTGTGATAGGATGAGAGGGATCATGTATGTGTCTCATTGCACTGCCGAGGTCTGTAGGCTGTATCAGCAGAAGTGCAGTGGCTCTTAACCTTTCAGCTGTCTGATTTGTCTTGCGTACCTCCAAAGTTTCACCTTCCTTAAAAATGACTTGCTTACAAAATCAGACATAAAAATGCAAGTGTGTCAGCCACTATTACTGAAAAATTGCTGACTTCTCATTTTTACCACATTATTATAAAATACATCAATTGGTATATAAATATTGAACTTACATTTCAGTGAATAGTGTGTAGAGCACTATAAACAAGTCATTGTCTGTATGAAATTTTATGTAGCCTGTTGTAAAACTAGGCAAATATCTAGATGAGTTCATGTACCCCCTGGGAGATCTCTGCGTACCCCCAGGAGTACATGTACCCCTGGTTGAGAACCAGGCCACTAACCATACCCCAGACTCCAATGAGCCACAGAAATTTTCAAGACAATCTGAGTATGAGTGTGAATTTTAGAGCCCTTAGGAAAAAAGCAGCCGTTAAACAGTGAACTAGAACAAACTTTAACAAGAGCAGAGCTACTACCCCATGGAGAAATTTCAACCATCATCTCACAATGAACCCTCAGACTCTACTTATTACCCCGTTGAAGACGTGAAAGTATCAGAAGAAATTACTGACCTGCCACCTGCAGTTCCAATAAAGCTGCTTCGTAATAGACACTGGACTCAAAATAACACGTGTACTGCCCATTGTCGGAGGGTTGGATATTGCGTATTCTCAGGGAAACTCTCCCATTGGTGATGTTGTCTTTCAAGAGCTCAGTTCTCCCTCCATATTCCGGCATCTGCTCTCTGTACTGATCCCGCCCATCACGGTACAGGTGCACGACTTCAGAGTACTTGGATCGGAACCATCTCACCTCCATGTTCTCAGTGCTTATCCTGGGGGAGAGGTGACAGGACAGGACGGCCTCCCCACCTAGGGAGGCAATGACTGGATGGTCAGGTCCAGTCACTGTGAATTGTGCTGTGAAATGTACAAAGGAAAATGGAAATTAAATCGGCGAGTGGCTGGGCGTGGCATTAACTCAGCAGTAAGACTCACAGTAAGAGAGCACCCTGGGTTAGAAGTGAACACCATGTTCCCATGCAGTGCCCTAGACATGTCTGTGAGTTCAGCGAGTCACAGGCTTGGGGTAACTGCACCTCTGACCCCTCTGTGGTCTGCTCAAGGAATGTCTCCTTAGGTCTCAGGCCTCCAGCTATCACCTCTCTCTGAACAGGGACCCCCGGCCCTCTCCCTCCACACTGGGGTTTCAGGCCCCTCAATTCACTGTGGTTTTCCCAGCAGACCTGATCAAAGACCAACACCTGTGCTTTGCTTTCTCTCTCAGGGCTATGAACAGCTTGTGCCAGTGGCTACCAATAACTCAAGAGCTCTTCTAAAGCAGAGAACATTTAAGGAGAAAAGCCTGACTGAGAAAAGTTACCATAAATCAATCAAAGGTCTGAACACATGTTACACTTGTGCCAAAGGATTCTCATCTGGCACATGGGATTCACTGGTAGGGTTCAGAGTCTTTCAACCCTTTCTGTAAAGGTTGTCCCCTTGGTTAACAGGTCAAGTCACTTTGTAGCCCAAGCTCTGGGTCTCTGGTCAGTTCAAATCCAGATTTTAAACCAAAAATCTTTGTTCTCTTGGGCTTCTGGACCTGGTCTCAGGGCCAGCCTTAGGGAAAATGGTGCCCTGGGCAAACTTGTATTTTGGTGCCTCCCCCCATCACTCTTGGCACCCACAGTCTTCCCCTTCCCCATCACCTCCTTGCCCCACTGCCTCCCCCAAGTGCGTAATTTATAGTGAAAGAGATGCTAGAGCTCAGCCCTGGCACTGGTAGGGTAGCCTGATTGTGGTGGCTGCTAGTTGGGTGCCCAGCTCTGAAGACAACAGTGCCACCAGCAGCAACGCAGAAGTAAGGGTGGTGTGATATATGGTATAATGCTACCCTGACTGCTGCTGTGACTCGTGGTGCCTGACAGGCTATACACTATGACACAGGGGCTGCATCTTGCCAGAGCCCGCAGCCCCTTGGGCCACTCCTGGCTCACCGGGGTGTCATTTCTGATTTTGAGGAGTAGGGGCAATTTTAACTGTGATGCCAGGGACTACTTAGGTACCTGAAAACTCTAGGGTTTGTTTGTTTTATATAACTTAGTAATTAGCTGACAGAAGCACTGTATCAATTTCCTAGAGGTAAGCAGGGTCTGAATGAGCTCTCCCCTGACAGCTAGCTGAGAGGGGGAGAGACTTTACATGAACACACCTACTCTGTGTAAATATCTAGCAGACAGGAGCTGTGTATCTCCAAGTGATGAACTGTGGCTGGTGCTGGGTTACAGATCACTTTAGTACTGAATGCAGGGGTGGTGAAATGCTGTTATCAATGCTGTTGTCTTTATTGTCTGAGTAGAAGGGAGCAGAACTGTGCTTAACTTGTCCCAAATGAGGGGTCACCCTGGGCTGAAAGGACCTCACTAAGCCAGGGACTGGAATGCCAGACCTTCCTATGAAAACAGAGCAGGAGTGGGGGTGGGGTAGGGTAGGGTAGGGGTCCGTGTCTTAGTCAGGAGGTGTGAATGCTCCTTAGGGGTCCCTGGTCTGGTTTAACTTGTTCCTCACCATGGTTCAAAGATAGTGATAAATAGGTTCCATTAGGAGCCTTTTGTTATTTAGTGTTTAAAAGAGCTGACAATCACTTCTGGTGGGACAGTGTCTCTGCCTAGCCTCAGAGTTAACAATCACTAAAAGCTGAATAGAACCTTAAGAGACTGACCTGTCAAGGTCACAGCAGACACAGGTGGCATAAGGTATTGCTCATATATGCTCAGAGGGTAGATCAAACCAGGTGCCTTCTTCCCTGGGTGGGAGGTGAACCCACACAGCTGCACCTCTGATCCCTGGTTCCTCACTGACCAAGGACAACGACTGTGAGTGAGGTGTGGTGAGGGAGCAGAGAGGGGCACAGAAAAGGAACTTTTGGTTGTAGAACTCAAGAACAGGAGGCAGAAGACACTGCCCTACACACTCTGGGGTGAGTGTCCTGCTCACAGTTTTATGATTATGAATCCTGCTTGTGGCATTTTCCCTAATTAATGTCAGCTGACTTCCCCCCCCCCTTTCATTAAATTTCTTTTCTATACTCAGATTCAGTGCTTGCGAGAGCACGAGGGGAATTGTTGTCTCTCAGAGGTGCCCATGGTGGTGTGTAATTTGTCCAGGTTACTGAGTGGGAGCTCAAGCCAGTTCTGGGTAGTTGAAGAGGAACCCCTAGATATTGAACCTGGCCCTGGTTGCTGCTGACTCCACCTGGCAGAAAGGTTACATATAAAAGGAAAGAAAAAATATAGACAAACTCCAATTAAAGCCACTTTTTAAAGTTTATATGTAAATTTAGAACAATCAGGAGATAAAACAGCGAGATATTCCCAATCCCAAGCCTTGAGCTATCAGTTCTGGAGCTTTAACAAAGATATAAGAAACACAAGTTTGATACTTTGTACTCTATCTTTAGTAGAGATAAATAAAAATAAATAAAATCTGCTTACTTTCGCTAACAGACACAATCTCTTTTACTGCCATTATCTTCTCTATTCTAGTCAATTATTCTTCACTCCACTAAAAAAGTATTTACTTAATTTAAAATAAGTTTTTTTCTCTTTTATTACCAATGGGAATTTGGTTTTCTAATTACTTTTGCATTCACGTTTACTTTGATAGACCCAGACCAGTTGGGAACAGCAGAGTAATGGAAGAGAGAGATACTGGCCACTGGATAAGTAGTTTTCTGTTCCCTGAGTGACCAGAGCAGGGGCTGCTCCAGGCTAATGAGAACACCTCATTCTAATTAACCTGCTAAGAGTCAGGTGAGGCAGTTAAGCACCTCATTCTAATTAAGAATGCTAATTCTAATTCTCTGATGCTATAAAAAGGCTCACTCCAGTCAGGCCAGAGGGAGTGGAAGTGTGTGTGTGAGGAACTGGGAGTAAGCGGTGTGCAAGAAACTGAGAGTGAGTAGATGTACTGCTGGAGGACTGAGAAGTACAAGCATTATCAGACCTCCGGTGGAAGGTCCGGTGGGGAGGACAAGGAAGGTGTTGGGAGGATGACATGGGGAAGTAGTCCAGGGAGTTGTAGCTGTTGTGCAACTGTACCAGGAGGCACTCTGGACAGCTGCAATCCACAGGGCCCTTGGCTAGAACCCAGAGTAGAGGGCGGGCCTGGGTTCCCCCCAAACCTCCCAACTCCTGATCAAACACAGGAGGAGTTGACCTGGACGGTAGCTTCTACCAGAGGGGAAGGTGTCTGGACTGTTTCCCGACCCAGAGGGTGAATCTGCGAGACAAGCAAATCTGCCAATAAGCGCAGGACCCACCAAGATAGAGGAGGAACTTTGTCACATTATCTATCACAATCATGTATGTGACTCACTAACATTTGACTCCATCATTACTATTAGTATCAGACTTGGAGCCACATTTATTTTCATATGAATTTTAAGTTATTTTACAGATATAACTAAAAATGCCATTTGAAAATAAGTGGCCTTCATCTGGACAATGTCTAAAGTTATGTGTTTAGCTTTTGTTGTTGTTTTAAACTGGTACTGCTAAGGTGACCACAAGCTAAATTTATGTTTTAGAAGGATACTATTATTTGATTGTACCACTTTAAATAATGAATGGCAAAGCACAATATGGTAATAAAAGTACTAATGAGAATTACTCCAGCCAGGACAGGTTGGGCATTTTAGAACTCATTACTCAAAGACTTAAATTTAAGCATAAGAGCGAAATAAGATTATGAAATACACAAACATGTAAGTAAGTATGTAAAGTAAATAAATAAATAAAATAACAGCACTGTTATCCTTAAGGAACTTTGAAAGAATAAAATTACAGGGAATATATGTGCATTGTACATTTTGACAGGAAGTACCAAGAATCAACAACAACAGTAGTACAAGCAAATATGATTTTGGGATACATTAACAGGTTGTGGTGGAGCAAGAAATGAGAAGTCATTTTTCTGCTCTACTCTGTGCTGCTAGGCCTCAACTGGAGTATTCTGTCCACTTCTGGGCAGGGCCGGCTCCAGGCACCAGCAAACCAATCAGGTGCTTGGGGAAGCACATTTTCAGGGGCGGCATTCCAGCCAGCCTCTTTTTTTGTTTTTTTTGGCGCTTGGGCAGCAAAAGCCTAGAGCCGGCCCTGGTGGCAGCAGCGCGTCCTGCACCGGGGGCACACTAGGGCCGCTGCAGTTCGTGTCAGAGAGCAGCTCCCGCACCTTATGGCCGGGCGGGCTCCGAGCACGGGACACTCAGGCTGGAGGCGCCCTCGGGGCGCACGGAGCCGCCTGCAGGTGCCGC